CAATCCACATCAACTCATAATTAATGGTGTTAGAGTTCACATTAGCATTTATAACACTATTTATGCCACGTCAATATCTTTGTTAAAATGATAGAGACCAATGTTGCAGACAGAAAAAATAGAGAGATCTAAAACAACCAAAAAAAAATATAAAAATTAATAATAAAACACAAGCAAAATATAGAAACTAAAAGTAGTATTTCTTTCCTTTTTTTACATCATACAAGTATCCTTTTTAAGGACAGATCTAAAAACAACTCTATGGGGGCAAAATATAAAATTACATAATAATAAGGGCAAAAATTAGTTTTGATATTTTTACATATAAAAATAAAGTTTTTTTTAAAAATTGTGATGCTTACCCCCCAATCTGTCTTTGATCCCTCTATTGACCTTATGGTTAAATATTAAATATAAATATCTTTTTTATGAAAATTCAAACTTTAGTTCATCACATTATAAGAAATTAACCATATTGAAGTCCTGAAATTGGACACAACTAGCCAGATATTTTGATGAAGAATTAATATTGGGAGAAGGGAACAACAATTGAAAGTGAAGAATACATGTAGTTGACAGATTATCATGTTCTAGAGAGCATGTATTGATTGAGACTGTTTTCTATCGTTTCATTTCATTCATACATTTAAAGGAATTGAATCCCAACATGTTTTTGACTCTGAGCTCCTTTGTACCTCCTCCTGTTTGCTAACATGGGGCCCTCCATACTAATTATGTCTCTTGATATTTTCATTTTCAGTCCAAAGTTGGCTTGTGATTAATATGATTTTTCTATTTTTTTTCCAGAAATTCGAAGGTTGGTTAGTATTTTTTAAATTTGAATGTTTGTAATATTAAATGTTGAATTATATAAGAGTTAAATTTAAACTCTCAACCACTTATTTAAGTGACTAGAGCTTAATTATATTTTTTTCTATCTTTTTCATGATGTGTTAAACAAGTTTACTTACCCAACTCACTCAATGAATTTAGACTCAAGTCACCTAAATCAAGTGGGCAAGATATTCTAAATAGTAGTGAGAACTAAAAACAACAAAAGATTCAACAATGCACAAGATAATGTTCAGCAATTTAGTTGTACATGATGAAGTTTTTGTTGTTCTGGGCTCTCATTGCTATTTTTCTCATCTAGGGGCTCTGAATATGCTTCTCTTATTATAATATATAATTTTTTAAATGATAAGTTAAACTATAGTTTACTTAACTAAATTTAAATTTTCAACAGAAACTTAAGTACTTAATTTTATATGCTTAATATACTTTTCTCTAATCAAATCAAAATAATTAAATCTTGTAATATTAAAAATATTAATAACACAAGTTTGTTCTATAATAAGTTTATAGATATAAAAAACTCAAATATTAATTAATTAAAAACAAACATCTTAATTAGATAAGTTTTGTCATATACTATTTATAAATAATAAATACTTCGGTTCGTCTCAAACTTAACAGACTAAACAGATTCCTTGACAAAGATATAAAAACATTACACAATTCATTTTTTATGCAAGCGGGATTACTTATAAGTGAGGCATAGGATTCCATTTGGTTACTAAAAGCAAATTCCTCATTTAAAAAAAAAAATCATAGTGACATACTATTATAATTAAAGCTGCATTTCTAGCATCAAAAAATTTGGCATTTTGAAGCCATCACATTGAACCCCAACTAGTTCAAGTGGAGTTGGGAAGGATCACAAGGATATAAAACTTTTTCAACTGAATATTTAACATCACTGCATATCTAAAGTTCAAATTCAAGAATACTAATTAAACTAACATAATATATACCCAGTGAATCATACGTTGGTTGATTGTATTTAAAATTATTTTGATGAGACAATTGAAAAAAAAAAAGACATTAGCACAGAAAAACAAAATAATTAAATTGATTTAACATAACAACCGACCTAACCTGTTGGGTGTGTGAAGAAGTGCAAGTAGTTTTCATGTTGGACAAAAGTATTGGTGAGAAATGTGAACCAAAACCACAATTGTGATGAAAATATCTGATTGGTGTAAAAGAAGCAGCCACAACCTCCACAAGATGGCCCAAGAATATCTCCACACACACTCTCTCTCTCCTAGGGCCTAGTTATCAAAAACTCAATCAATCATGCATTGTGTGGGTGGGTGGGTGGGTCTACTTTTGGATACATTAAAATCTGAGAAGGGAAGTGAAAATGAAATGAAAGGATTGTATCAAGTCTTTAGTTGAGGCTGAGGCAGATATAGGAGAGGCTTAATTTGGATAATTTATTTTTGTTTTGTTTGGTAAAGAAAATTTTTGGTGAGTTAAGTTTGGATAACTCACTAAGATTATAATATACCTCCAAATTCAGATAATACTTACAAAGGTATTTATAAAACGTCCACTAACAAGATTCTTGCTAAAGGTGGGAATCAAGGCTGGCCTGGCTCTTAAGGGCTTAGGTCTAAAATTTGATTACTCAAATTAGACATAATTTTGAGGTCTAGCCCTGTCTATTTTTGAGGCCTAGCCCTTATTTAAAAACTTAAGGCTGAGCCCCTAAATCCTCTTTCCAAAAAAAACTTCAACATTTTAATTTAAATAAATATTTAAAATTCGAAACAAATTAAAATCTCAAATAAAATTCAACAAAGATTTAAAATTTTAAATTTAAGATAAACATTACAATTTTATCAATGTAAATCTAAATCCTCCCCATCATCATCTAAAAATAAAATAATAGATCTTCAGAAATAGATCTACTTATTAAAAATGAGGTGAAGATTCAATGTCAATTACCTTTACAACTTCTTCTTTTTCATCACCTACAATAATATTAACTAAATTATATTATTATCAATCAAATATGTGTGTGTATAAGATAACTAGATTTATTAAGGCTTAAAGGGCCACCCGAACTCGAGCCATTTTTCACAAGGTTCATTAATATCAGGCTCTCAAGTTCGGTTACTTTAAAAAAATTTAATTTTTAAAACTCAAACTCTTATTTAAACAGGGTCTCCAAGCCTGACTCTTCAGGCTTGGTCCTTATTCTCAATTATAATTCTTACATAAATAGTAAATTTTAAATCCATAACTTTTCATGAGTTATGATTTAAATTATTATTAATTGAATCAACCTAACTTTAATATTGTTGTTGTCGGCAAAAAGAAAAGGAAAAAAATGTATGACTACAACTGTTGAAAAGAATTGCCACATAAAGCCCATATGATATAATATCTTTGTGTTGCATGTATTGGGCGGGCAGGTATGATGAACCGGTTATCCTGAACAAAAACCGGATCCGTAATCATATGGACTCTGTTGAGTGCCAAGAGAACTGAACGAGGAAAAATAATAGTAGAAGAAAATTGAAAATATTCTACCAAAAATAATTTATAATTTTATATAAAGAAAGATCCTTGCAATTGATTAATTTTTTTAAATCATAGAAGAGTTTGAATTTTGAACCTCTCTTAACTATAGGTGATTTTCAATTCTATAATGATTATTGATTATGATATAATATATGGGGAAAGAAAAAAAAATGTGAGAAATATTTTTTATTGTGTTTGATAAAGTGGTTTTGTTGGCAGAATTTTTCTCAATCCTAATTCCTGTCTATTCTCATTGATTGAGAAAAGCTAACGCTTCACAGTAAAAATTTATTTTATAGAAATTTTGTAAAAAGATGAAAACATTGTATATTTGGTTGCATTAAAAAAGTGATTATTATTGAGTAATTTTTTAATTTTATGATATATTCATGGGCAGCCGTGGACCTTTGTTCATAAAAATGATTGATTATTTAATTACCCTAAAATTTTATTAAATCTTCACATGTCTTCATATTTTTTTGATTTTCTTTATCATTTATTATATTATATTATTTTTAAACCAACACAAAGTAATTGCTCAAAATATATTTTTTAAAAAAGTAATTCTTTTCATTAAAAAAAAAATTTAAACAAACGCCCTGATTCTCTTCAATGTGTCCCTAGTACCTCATGTCTTCTCTTATTGTTGGAGACATCAAGACATCATAACAAATTATAAGATCAGTAAAAACTGTTGTGTTGTCTACTCTCATAGCAGATACAACAATTTTCAAAAGTTGTAGCTCTAAGCTCTAGCCTCTCGGTTAAGAATAACTGTTTTGTTGGACAATTGATAATGCTTGAATAGGCATCTTTTTAATCTTCGTCCATCTAAGAAAATTTTAACTAACTGACACAATTTATAAAAAAATTAATTAATTTTAATAATCTAAAATTAAAATATTTAGATTAAAACGCTCTTGTAATTAATATTGTTCCTCTAATTTAACAATACTATTCATTTATGAGGGACAGCTTGAGAAAAAAGTAATTAATTCTTCTTGAATTTATAATTTTTCTTATAAGAAAAAACAATAAAACATAGGGTATTTTTTCTTATATTTAAAAATAAAAAATATAATTTTAGGCAATACAAGTTTTCGCCGATGTTATTGTTCTTACAAAGCCAAAATCCTGCAGTCTTTGACGTAAAATGTTACTTACTTTCACTTACAAGTGCCTTACAATTTCTTGGAGACATTGTGGCCACCCTGTTTATTAGAAATATTCAAAGCTTTTTTTTTTTATCAACAAATTGCAATGAGACTTTTGTTCAACTCATTTCAATCAAATCAATATGATTGATATGCGTATAATCCAAATTTAGCATAATTTGAAAATTTAGAGAGGGAAGTCAAAAGTTGACCTGTATCTAAACATTGAAGTTAATTTTGTGATTTTGTAAATGAAAATTTTGAATTACGTTGAATGTAATTCATCATAATTTCAAAATTGTAATATACTTGTTACAGCTTTTAACTGTAGAAAATGCAATTTCTGCTGTCTTGGAGGTGTGGTATGAGTTACAAAGGCTTGCCCAAAAAATATTATCAACAATGTAACTTAAATTTCAAGTATAATTATGAAGCATGATAATCATGCTATTTATAGAGCATTAATTATAATTATTAAAATAATAATAACTCAATCACAAATAAGATTACATAAAACCTAACTTGAAGTAAAAGAAATCATAACAAATAAACAAAATACAGCCATGATAACTAAACTACTAAAATTCTCCTAAAAAAAATCCTAAATAATTTCCTTCACAATTTATCCTTCCTAATATCCTAAATTATTTATTAGTAAATATCCTTTCTAATATCCCATTATTTATTTTCTTTCACTATTCGAGAGACACCAGTATCACACAAGGTGTTCCAGACCTGCAAATTTTTAAGTATTAAATAAAGTTATTATCATTAATGAACGGTCATCAAAAAAATAAAACATAATAAGATGCTTTTACACTCACTTTCAATTTTCCCTTGCAGCCTCCTATTGCCAACAAGAAAGGATCGTCCTTTGAGAAAGAAATGTGAAGACGGGTCCCTAACAACAAGAAGTGAAAAAAGTTATTGCCATAAAGCAACATTATTATTATTATTATTTATTTTGGGCACAGTAAAGCAACAAATGAAGTTTTTCAATAAAGCAACATCATTAATTAAGGGTAGGATTAGACGGCCCAAAGTGCTAAACTGAAGTTTGGCTCTCCATTCTCAAAAGTCAGATTGGCTACAAAAACTCTTGTTTGGATAAAAATTGTAGGAAAATGGCTTTTAATTCAAATTTAAGGTTAGAGTATAAGCTGGTTTTTATGGCTTTTGGCCTTTTGTGCTTATTTGTCAGTTTATTTCAGATTTTTAGAATTTACAAATAATGCTTCTCAATTATATATGGACTACTTTTATTTTAAAAAATTTAATTTAAAATTTAATATTTTTCCTTAAAGATATCAAAAATTTATGTCCTTTTCAATTATTACATATCTAAACTTGCTTTTTGAATTATATCATCAAAATAAATTTCAATATATTAAATTAATTTTTTAAGAAGTATCTAAATCCTAAATATGTTATAACAATTGATTTTTACTATATAATCTATCCATATCCTGTTCAATATGCATTTCACACTCAGCACATAACATAACAATTTGAATTTCAATTTCAATACAAGTTATTGGACTAAACTTCAAAAAGATAAGGCATTTAGGGCAATAGCATGGAGAGGGAAAAAACCAAGTAACTTACCGTCTTAGGATTATAGGATGTTACATGACATGGTTTTTGGTTTGACAAATCCCAAACTTTTACCTGCAAAATAAAATGAGTGTCACTTATATAAGGTTCCATTATATGAGATATTCCCTCTATATAGAATTATAAGGCATTTTAACTAATTTACACTCCTAATTAGTTAGTGGCATTTAAAGTTGCACATTCTTTCTATATTTATTCTTATTTAATAGTGTCTCATATAGAAAACCTTATTAATTGGTAATTACACCCTCTAATTAAGGGCATTTTTTTGGAAAAACCTTATTAACCTTATTAATTAATTACATCTTGCTTGCAAGACTCAAAATGCCTTACTTTTTTTAAAATAACATTTTAGAAAAAAGTGTAGTACATATGCAAGATAATAACAAAATGACTTCACAATTACCGTCTCATCGATGGATGCAGTTGCAAGAAGCTGCAAGAAGTCATGTCAAGAGGGCATAGTTACAATAGAGAACTCAAGAATTTGGAATTATGAAAGAAAAAAAACAAGAGATATATACATTAGCTGCTGACAAATTATAGGATACTGAGGTAACGGCTTTATCATGAGCATGAAGATTAAAAATAGTTGATTGAGATGTTGAATTAGATTGGATGGCACGAACATCAATACCCTTGACAATGCCGTCTTCAAGACTCACCTAAAATGAAACTTCAAGTCAACATTACCTAGAAATTTGTCGAAAACAATCAAATAAAAACTACATGAAATCTGTAGCCAATAAAATATTTATAATACTAATAATAATAGGAGGAGGAACTACAATTGAGTAACAAACCACAAATGAGTGCTCAGCATGCGGATCCCAAGCCAAGCTCTCTACGTCAGCTGAAACTGACCACTTGAAGCCAGAATGTGATGGTATCCTTACGTCCTTCTGCTAAGTGTAACAAACATTAGAAAGTTCAAGTTCATAGGAATAAAAAATGGATGATATATAATGGTACAGAAAATCATGTTTCTATTTTACTCGCTAACATAACTGAGAAACCATTTTGTTTATTCAATGATATAATTGATATAGAAGATGAAATATGAGACAGACAACTATGGTAAACTAATTGAATGATACAAAGCTGCAAATAACAATGAAGTTCTTGACCTTGAACTTTGAACTTCAAATAATCCTTCAAAGTTCAAACCAAGGAATCAATAGTTCCAATTTGAAATGAAATAGAAAGTCAAGCATTTGAATTCCTCATTATAGTTTCTCATGTGCAAATCAATTAATAGACAGGAAAGGAGGATGAGACAGGCTCCTAGAAGATAAGACATAGAAATAAATTTTACCAGGACAAGATAAATTTTCATTGTATCATCAAAAGACAAAATAGAAGTAACATGAGATATTAGAACATTACCATGACCACTGTTTGATCAAAAGACCCACTAAGAAGAACTTGTGGTGCATAATAATTCCATGCAACTGCTTGAACCTAATAGGATAGTTCAACCAGATTAAATTTGAAAGGCATCAGGATATCTACACAAGTCATCTAAATCAATCATGGAAAGTTAAATTGCAATATTTTCCCCTCCTTAATAATCTAGAACTTGACCACAACACCCTAAAAAGTTTTATAAAACTGTTAGTCATATCTGCATGTTCAGATTTAAGAAAACCTATAGATATGAAGAATATTGTGTAACATTTCAGATGATGATAGAGGACTTGTGTGAAAATTGTGAGGTAAAGATAACCACAAACTAACAAATATTCTACATATGAAACTGTTCCAAATATGCTTACAGAGAAGGGGGAAAACTCTTCAAAATAACTAAAAAATGAGCTAAGAGAATAAACCAAGTCCACTTAAGCTTAGTTCCAGTTCTTACCTTGTCTGAGTGATGCTCCATTGTAATTTCACACTTCTCAACAGCCACGTCCCAAATCTTCACTTGCTTGTCAGCACTAGCACTTGCAAGTAGATACCTGTATTATTATTTTTGGGAACATGATGAAGAGGAGGGATCCCAGTGAGGAAAAAAAAATTCCCTTCTTAAAGAAGGCATACAAAAGAAGAAATAACGGTGGAATTTAAATTTAAATTTAATGAAGCAGTACTTGTTCCAAGCAAGAGAAAGTACTGAGTCAATATGACTTCCATCCTTATACTTAATGGATTTCTGCAACCAAAATAAAAAATTTCAACTACATCAGAGAAATAAAATTCAATGTTGAAAAAAACTAAATTGCCGAACAATAATTTACATTGAAAAGAATCAAAAAAAGTATAATATCAATACTCAAACTCATTTCATTAGTTTCTCACATTATGACATATGTATTTTGATTTGCATCTCATAATATGCATTGGCCAAAGGTTCATTTTATGAAGCTCAAAAGCATCAAATGTATATGAGCAATTAAGTGGTTTTGTGTCAAAACCTTAATTTCAACAGGACCATGCAAAATTAGGCAAAGGAACATTTGAAGATTCAATCATCTGAACATGTATTTCTGAGCTATCTGTCATCACATGGTTTCTATACTTGAAAAATGATCACTTATAGAGCATAATCATTTTCCCCCCACCTAAATTCCCTTTATATGCCTTTTCCTAATATTAAATTATAATGCTATGTTGCATTTTGGGGATTCATGGAAGCAATTACAATTTTATAGGGATTGAAAATCTGCAATTATCATAAATTTGAAACAAACCTTCCCCTTTTTCTTTTTGTCGACAAGGCCTCCTAAAATCATTGATGGCTTTACTTCATCAACCTAAGAATAACAAAAAATTAAATGGGACTCTGCAAAAGAACCTCCAAGTTTTAGCATGTTTAGTAGACAATAGTGATTTCATATATACAATCTACTCACAATATCAAGGTCCCAAATCTCGATGGAAGGTTCATCCTCAAAGCCAACAGCTATGAAGTTCCCTATGAACATATTGTAGTTACAAATGAGAGAATCAGTTAGAGTAAAGCCATAAAGTAGACATCAAATCAACTTTTGAGCATGGCAAGCTATCTATAATGGTGATTTTAGGTAATGCCAACACATCAATTACTACCAAACTATTGAAAAAATTGTTTAATGGTCTGCACCAACTTTGATTAAAAGCACATATAAACTTATTCAGTTGCTTGTAGAATGGAATTTATAGTTGAATTTTTTGCTTCAATTCCTCACTTGTGCAGCCTACTAAAGTAATGGTTATCACTTATAAAAAACATGATTCTAGAAGGTTTGTTTCCCTATAGATCCTGAGATTATATTTCAGAAGGGGGGAGGAATGATTTATAAATGTGCGGAGTGAGAAGTACGCAGTACTTCGATTTTGTATGTATTTTTTATTGAGGAAAGGAAGGGAATGGGAAGGCATATATTTTTTAAGATGTCAAATTGACCCCATGAACAAAGAATTAGTGAGCGACATCTACAACTGCAGCCACAATAATACCACTGTGCTACAATTGCAGCCTATATCAGTCATGTATTTTGGTAATCATTGAAACTACAAAATGCAACCACAATTGTAGTTGTGATTTGAAACAAAAGAGCATATTAAAGTAATTATAAAAGCAACAATAAATATTTTTTTGACAGAAACATAATTTTTAATGAAGAGAGATAAGTACAAAAGCAGAGGAAAAGAGATCCTCCTCAGTCAAAATATACTTGCAATTTCTTTGTATATCTATGAGGAACATTGTCCGGAAGAACCTAAACTAAAATCATCAAGAAAAACATAAAAGTAATTTCCTCCCAAAGAACCTTAGAAAGATAAAACTTTTAATTAAAAACTGCATCATTATGTTCTAAATAAGAGTTTTTTAAGGCAGTGTTTATCATTATATTCTTGTCAAGAAATCCCATTTGCACCACACAAATGCATTTGATAAACACTAACATGCAAGCCTTAAGTATCAATGAAAATGTCAGTAGATCTCACCTCTTTCTCCCCCTTTTAGGGGGAAATCTGACCAAGCCGTGCAGAGTGGACAAGCTGTAATCATGATATCATTGCGAATATACTGGTTTATCTCACTGGAATTTGAGTCCTCAAGTATCAAAACCTACCATAGAAGATACAAATGACTTTTCAATGGTCCATTTGTTAACACCATCTGATAAGGAAGATTGGAGATGGGGGAAGGAAGAGAAGATTATTTCATGGCTAGCATTCTTCTTACCTCAAGATGACAGTCATGTTTCTTTATACATGCACAAACAACTACGGAATCTGTTGGATGAATTGTCATGTCTTCAAATTCTTCAGAGTCATCATCCTGAATTATGTAAAGGGAAATGATATCTAAGCATCAACAAAAGGCAAGGCATGAAATCTAGAAAGCAATGTGCACAAGTTTTTTAACTTACATTTTCATGATTGAGATATGGATCTATATCGTTACTTGGATAATAAAGATCACCAATCCCTAACGTAAGTAGCTCAACTCCTATATTCAAAAGAATATACAACTCATTTAGGGAATAATAGATATATTATGAATTAGGAATATTATATAGTGTTCAATATAACACCAAGACACAGAAGAAAGGTTAAACAAAGGAAGAAACAAGAGATCATCCAATATCAGCTCTGCATTAATTGAACAAATCAATTCAGCAAACCTTCATCCTCTTTATCATAATTGTCCATGTCAAGCTCCTCTAAGCCAAGGGTTATATCATCACATTTATCTCCTACTGTCTTTCCAAGTGCATCAGCTACAGACAACGCTTGAGCAACGTCACCATCTTGTTCGTTAGCACCAACATCCATATCTTCATCATTTTCTTCATTCTCACTGCCTCCACTATATAAATCAAAAGGGCCTCAAGTATTTGTAACTTATATGTGATAATCAGCTTCACCAAACAAAATGCAAAGACACAACTTGTATATGCAACAAAACCAACAAAATATGTGCTTTCTAAAATTGAGTTCATATAATCTATTGCATATTAGGGGTTAGACGCCACATCTAAAATGCTATATACAAGTACATGTGCAAGCCAAAGCAATTTATACAAGGCATGCACCTTCCAAGCTATCAATAAAATCTCTTAATGGCTATTGAATTTTTTGCTTGCACTTCACTATAATGGATTTTGATCCCCCTAAGTAAATATCAAAGTGTCTTCTAAATGAAGAAAGGCATAGAGAAGGGAGAAGAGGAAATGGATAGTTTGGAAGAGGCAAGGGATAGAGGATAGGCTCCATCCCTTATCTCTTCTCTCTCCTCAACTAATTCTCTCAATTAACTGAGGGAGTCCAGTACATAAATGAGTGAAAGAGAAAAAATAAATCTATTATGCACTATCCATAACCCTCTTTCCACTTACAAGCACTTTACCATGTCAACAATTTATTAACTCAATTGAATTTGAAAGGATCCCAGTTCATCGTGTCACACTTAATCATAAGAACCTGTACAATTTGTCCAACTTCAAAATAAGTAAATTTAATATCTTTTTTTAAAAAATGAAGTGTTTTCTTTTGGTAGAATAATTTTAGTCAATTTAATTCAAAAGCAGATCAATGAACTTTCACTTTGTATAACAAAAGTGTTTTATTAAATAAAAGACGCGCTAATGAAACTATAAAATAAGGGACTAAAGATGTATTCAAAAAAAAAAAAACAAAGGAACCACTAATTTCTCATTACTTGTCATTATCCCATTGCCACAAAAACACTTGAATACAAATCGAAGAAAGGGTTACATAGTCCAAAAGAAAGTCTTATTGATTCAGTGATACACAAACCAAATATTTATAACTCTATACATGCTTCCTATATGAATTAAATAATGCACAAAAAGAAAGATTCTGCTATAACAGAATAATCTAATCAAAGGGAAGGATAATAGCAATTGACATGGCTTTGTTAACTGAAGACTTAAAAGTCAACAATGCCATGCAAGGTTTATCACAGAAGAACATGAATATACACAACAGAAACAGCCAAAAGAACTGGCCATCATTGAATTGAATCCAATAACTTATCAAGAATATAACTGAACACAGAACGAAAATAAAAATACCTGTTAATAAATTCCTCAATTTCCTGCTGTGAAGGAAGGTCAGCCATAAGAGGCTGGGACTTTGAGGCCCCTTTAGGGACCCAAGCAATGGCCGAAATCATCGTTACAGGCACAGCTACAAAATCAAAATAATCAAAAGCTGCACGTCAACCAAATTGAGTGAGTTAAAAAATTTAGTAGAGAGAAATAAGACTGTGAGTCTGAGGTTCACTAATAACTAATAAGGAAGGCTCAGAGCGAGGTGGGGTCTAATAAATCCGTAAATGGTCCTTTTTTCTAATAAATATTGATGATATAGATTGACTATTGAATTTATAATTTTTTTATATATCCCTATAAGTTTTAGTATCTATGATATGACACGGCTCAAACTGACAATATAACAAATTTTAAAAATTTTAGGATATGAATATGAGAATATATAAAATTTTTATATAAATTTAAGCAACAATTGAAGTATTAAAAGTGAATAGCAATCCAACAAAACACAAAATATTAATAATACAAAAATGGGGAGCAAGTGAGCGACAGGTTCTGCGGAGAACAACATAATAAATTAATAATATGAAACAATAGTCAAACTTTCATAACAAAGCAAGTGAGCAACATAATAAAATAATAATATAAAATAAGAGATGAGCAAGAGCGAGAATAAACGTGTTACACAGAACAGAGCATCAGATATTTTAACAAGAAGGCAGAGAAGAGAGAAGACGAGTGAAGGACGACAGATCATGGACTGGACGCCGAAGAGCTGAGCAACCACAGAACGACCCGCAAGTTGAGCAAACAAGAATGGGTTAACGGCGGCGCCTTCACGGATCACGGAGGAGCACGACGGCGCGAGTTGGGATTCAATGAGAAGAGAGCGACGAACGAGACTAGGGGGAGAATGGAGGCTCCGAAATTTTTCAAGAATCGATTCTACTCTTGGAACTACGTTATGACATAAGCTTATCTCACCTGTTTCGCATCGTCGACTATAATAGTTGGACCCATTATTATATGCCACAATTTTAATCTACCAAATATACCTTTGACAGTGTGGCTCCGACTCTGAAACCCCCAGCGTCTTTTTCCTCCTAAAACTTGCGATGCCGTGAGTGCCCTTGATCGTGGTTCCGCTGATTTTCGTCTGCCGTCCGCCTTTCTTTCCGTCAGCCGCTGTTACCGTCGTTGAAGCCGTCTGGTTCGTGTTCCCGTTCGCAACGTAGATACATTGGGCGTCCGAGTCTTGTACTGGGACGAGGGATGTCTAATCGTTTAGAAGATACGATTTCAAATCATATCTAATGTCTCGCTTTTGATCGATGAAAGTTGTTTTATAGGATTTGCTGTTTGTTCTCGGTAATCATATCACTCATACCCATAACTTAGTAAATATTCGCAAAAAAATAAAAATAAAACATAAAACATTGTATTTATTTGGTTAGTAAGCTGCTAAATATATGATTATGTTCAAGTAAAAAAAAAAAAAAGTCTATGAAGTTGATATAATGCATTAATACTGATTTGTTTACCATTATGAGTAAAAATATCTTCTTTATATAAATTATCATGATATCTTTTTTTTTTTTCGATCAGCAAGTTATCATGATTTTTTTTTTTTTGCCCAACAGGTATCCTGACATCAATATCTATTTATGAGGAAAAAAATATATGATTTGATTTAATCAAAAGTCTATAAGTTATGCGAAATGAGATCCACAAATTAAGGAAAACAATACACATAAGGCAACAAAAATAAAGTAAAAAACCAATAATAGAAATGGTAAAACTCTAGGGATAAATAATTATGTTATCCCTTAAATTTATTATATATGATTTTCTAGATTCTTCTAAACATGTTTTTAAATTATAATTTTTATAAATTTAATTATAAAACATAGAAGAAATAAAGAAAATGACAAAACGACACTCTTAAAATATACAAACGACGAAAAATTGTTTTGTAATGTGATAATTATTATATAGTCTCCAGGACTTAGCTGACATATTATTGGGAAATTTGCCCCCAATTTAATTTTACATATGACAAATATGCTACAGTAAACTGATGTGATTTTTATTAAGTTAATAATTTTTTAAAAAAATGAAATGAAATGAAGAAAAATGGATAAAAATATATAAAAAAATCGGTTCCTTTAATTTCATCTAAAATTTTCAATGGCTTAAAAAAAATCAAAAAGAAAAAACTACAGAACCTTCGAAAATAAATTAAAATGGAAAAATATTATTACTAAATAAGAAAAATCATTTTTGTTAAGGTGACCACTTTTTTAAAAACGTTATCTTAAAAATACAATCTTTATTAAGCAAATCTTATTTCTTAACGTTCTTTCCCCTCGTTAAAAAAATGACACAACTTACTATTAAATAGATAATTATTTTTCAACAAATTTTTTCAGTGAAAATATGAAACGCATTTAAATTGAGCACATCACCCAAAAAGAACTAAGCCACTTTTCTTTTTTCATGATAAGGTTCAAAGTTCAAACGGCATGAGAAAGAAGCCACAGGGCATCGATTGTTCAATTCCCATCCAGTTGAGTCATGCATTTTCCGCCTCAGGGGTCACATATTTTTTTTGCGTATGGAAAAGGGTAAAAAAATAAAAATAAAAACACAAAGAAAGTGAAGTCAGTTAGAGCCTGTTTGGATTACTGAATTAATTTTGGAATCAAAATCATAATTTTGCAAAAAATTATTCAAACATCATTATATATGTAAAGATAGGGTTAAAAGCTTATCACGTATCCATTTTTAGGTTTGCTACAATGTTATACTTTGAGGTGTCTTTCCTGCAAATATGTACTTCAGAATTAAGTCTGAGGTTAGGTTCGGGATGATTTATTTTTTTTAATGTCTGTAAAATATATTATTCAAATTTAGAGTTAGGTGCGAGATAAATTATTAATTTTTATATGCATATAGAAAATTCATTTTTACCTATTTTAAAATTCAAATATGATCATATTTGAATTCAAATTAATATCTATTTATTTTAAAATTTAAAAAAATAACTCTATTTAAAATTTTCATCTGTCATCATCATTTTAAAAAATTTCCATCTATCCTAAAGATTTGCCGAAACTCAAGGCTCATATGATTGTATATGTGTATTTATCTATTTGAATTCAAATTTAAATTAATATATATATATATATCTATATATATATTGAAAAAATAATGTGTTTGAATATTTAGATTTATTCTCATGATTTCAAAAAATTTGTATAATATAATAAAATTAATATCAATCTATCAAAATATTTAATATGCAATTATAGGTTTACAAACAATATATTATCAATTATTTACGTTTAAAAATATTAATTTCAATGGTTTGATATTAGTGTTTAGTATTGCATGGTTTAAAGATATTAACACCGTTTAGGATTTACAATGTGTGTGTGTTTGGGGGAGGGGTAGGTGATAATTGATTTTTGAATTTAAATTAATTTGGGATCACTTTAGATATCTATCATCACAAAAATTAATATTTAATATATATAATCTTAATGTTAAAAAATCCCCCCTTCATTTTCCCTCTCAATTCAACCTTATTCAATTATAAATTACTAGACTAAGATAATATCATACTTTTTTTAAATGTTTTAGAGATAGGTTGCAGTCATTTAAGATATGTGAAATTTTAAAATTTGAGATCTCCTAGTGCTTTGGATCATATTGAACAACAAACCATTCGTATAAAGATTAACTTTACGCTTGACTACTATGAAGTTGTATCCTAAGACAAGTTCCATCCATTGTTTTAGGTTCAATTTTGTTAATATTTCATATATTGTATATAAAGAGGCAATAAATGATAATTACTTAGTAGGTATATTATTAAACTTTCTAAAATTTTTTATTCAAAAACTTTATTTAGCAAGATTACAATAATATCTCATCTTAAACTTTTCTTATCTTAAACTTTATTTTTTTTTACTTTATTTAATGAAATATATACGTAGCATTATACTTTATTTATATGAAGCATGTTAAGTTAGACTTGCTATGTTGGAGTGATGCGGATATGATGGAAACATGAAAGTTAAATAAATAAATATGTATAATCACAGCAAGTCTATTTGTACTTTACAGTATTATTTTCACTAAAATATGCATACTCAATGCTTCCATATGAAAACATGGGCTCATCAAATATGGTTTGGATTTTATATTTTATTAATGTAATTTGAATTTTAAATATGATATATTTAATATATGTTTATTTTTATAACAGTTTTTTGATAATATGATATACTTAATGTGAATGTTATTCTATGTAATTTCAAATTTTCAAACCATAATATGATATTTAGTTAATGTGATTTTTATTAATAACTAATATATGTTTATTTCCACAAAAGCTTATTCGTTTATTTTACGTTAATTTGAATTAATTTTTTAAATTTAATTTATATTATACTAATTATAAATAACTAAGGTTACTAAGTTTGCTAATATTGTGTTTCATATGTCCCTGAATCTAACCAATGCTATAACCTCTTTAATTTTATTTTGCTGCCAAGTATTCTTCAATTTATTTTTTAAGCTAATTGTTTTGTTAGATATTGTTTAGAGTTTAATTTATCTATTTTCTTATTTGCAATATGTGTATCTTAAATTTTCATATTATTTGTGGCTTTGACATGTGATATTCACACAATTTGTACTATCAACACAATGAAAAAAAAGTGAAATATTATGGTTTAAGTGATTGGTGTTTGAAAAATGCTAAGTAGAGATGCATTTGAGAACTCAAATAGCATTGAATTAGCGTTTCACTAAATTAAAAAATTAATGAAAAAAATTAAAAAGAAAAGAAAAGACTATAAAAATTAGGATATATTTAAAAAAAATTATCTATGCATCCCAAAATTCTTTGTTTTGCAATGTCTTTTATGCAATTCTATGCTTCAAAGTTAAGTTTGATTGTTGATTGGTGGGTATAGTTTTTAAATTGATTTTTTAATTATTATTTATATAAACTAAAAAAAGTTGTTAATGATGTAATTTGAATATTTGAGATTCAAATCCGGTCACTTGAATATTCTTATGAGCTTCTTACCGAACATCACTTTAGTATATGCTATCAACTTATTTTATATAATTATGAAATAATTTCAAATGTTAAAATTTGGATGAAGTTCGATAATATCCAATATATATGATTATTTATGCTAAATATAATCAAATTTTAATATTTATGTGTGCCATTTCCAAAGTTAAAATTGGTAGCTTATTAACTTAAAAACCATATAATCAAAATAAAATGCATGGTTAGAATAATTTTTTAATCAATCGTATAATCTCTGAACGAATTTAAAATGGATTAAATGTTAAATTTTAATTTTGTTTTCTTTTAATCTATTTTGATAAATCTGACATGTTTCAAATTAAAAAAATATTTATTTAATCAGCACATATAAATAACATCATTTAATTACATAATATAAATAAGCCTTTTAAATTCAAATATCTTGAGACTAAATTCAAATTGTTATCAACTCAAATACAAATACTTATTTTTTTTACATTTCTAATTTATTTTATTAAATTAATCATACAAACTAAAAATGTCATAATTATTCTACCTTCTAAATAACACTAGTTTTAATAATTAAGAAATAACGTATTAGTTTAAATGATCATTCAAGTGTAATAACAACATCATTTAAAAAAGGTGTGAGATTACACAATTCTAATCTAATGCCATGCATATAATATCTATGCAATATATAGTTGTATACTATATTATATGAAAGTAAAAAGGCATATGAAATTTTTTCTATTTAATATATTATATATCAGTTTGGTTTTATACTTTATGCTTTTTATTTCACTTATTTTATTTTGTTAAAGTTCTTTAATTTTTTATTTTCCTTAATTCAAACAATCCTATTTGAACACTAATTCATTTTATGTTATCAAGTTATTTTATATAATTATGAAGTATTGTGATTTAAATTTTAATTGTTTAGACTTGGATGGAGATCCATAATATCTAATATCTCATAATTAAATGGAAGGACATTGAATATTGTAAAAAGAGCAATTAAATATCTAAACTATGCAATTTGTCAGTAGGTACTAATTTTAAACTTTAAAAATCTAAAGTATGCAATTAATCAGTGGGGGTAATTTTGACTTTTTATTCTAATGTTTAAGAAATAAAATAAGAAAAAAAGAATTATGTTATTATTTAAGAAAATGTCTTTATATTTAAATTCCAAGCATATCCGATAATTAAATTAAATTGACAATTTAAATTCAAAATTTCCTCCAACATA